ATTAAAAGTCATCATAGGCTGGGTATGGTGGTGCACATCTGCAATCCCTGCACTGCAGAAGCTGAATTAGGAGGAGGAACACAAGTTCAAGGATAGCCTGGGCTACACAGTGCATTCAGAGCTAGTCTGGAATATATATCAAGACCTTGTCTCAAAAAAAAAAAAAAAACACAACATAAATAAAAATAAAATAAAATAAAAGCTATAACATAAGATGACTTGCTGAAAGAAAGGAAGACATTTAGCTGAAAGGACACTACAGATGGAGGAAGGTGGACAAGAACAGTAATCATCTTCAAGCACGTAAGCAGATATGACATGGAGGGGCAACAAGACTAACTTGGTTAGGCAAAGCTAGAAATGAAACGCTGTATTCAACTCAACATGAGGAAGGAGCTGAACTGGAGAACAGGCAATGAATGGGTCATCCAGGGAAAGACTGAGGTCAGGATGCCCGAGATAGAAGCGGAAGTCAGTCAGTGACTTAACAAGGGATGCTACTAAGAGGTAGAAAAATATCAGAGGAGCTAGAAAAGTGACCGTATCTCTTAAGACTCAGCACTAAGAGTCCTGGGAGATGAGTATTAGGGAGCAAAGGATACAAAGATGGGTGCTAGAGTCAAAACAAAACAAGTAGACAGTAAAGAAAGACAAAAGTCAGACAGTCTAAGAAATGACCAGCCGAGCGAAGGCCTCCTTCTAAAATCTGACCCAAAACATTTCCTCCAGACCATCTTGATGAGTAGTACCGATGGCTTTGAGTACTCAAGGGCGGTTCTGGGAGGATGGCAGGGCACATTTTGCCTTTAATAGGTATCATAGGGGGAACATGTCCCTACTAAGGACTTCCGAATTAGGACTCTGCCACCATAGGGCCTTGTGCGTGCTGTCTGGAGCTAAGAGTTCTCTTTAAATGGCAGTGTGATCTCATTTGAGGTGAGACTATAAAGCCGCAGATTTGCTTACAATTTAGTAATAAACAATAGCACACATTTTCAAGCCAGTAATCAGAAGGCACAAAAGACTTAGATTAAATCAGACTAAGGTAGGTAAAACATTCACTTCTGGGTGGAAAATAATAATCGTGAGTTTTAACTTCCATATTTTTCCTTTTTCTAATTGAGTCAATATAGTGAGAAAAAACAGAGAACTTCAAGATAACCAAGAAAAACAAAAGGAACTCCCTCAGTAATTAACACGCAATAGGTTAGGGTTCTCTTAAATTCAGTAGTTGTTCACTGAGCAAATACTATGTGGACGTGCTTGTGAGGACTTTAATTAACAAGTGGCCTCTAAGTCCTGAAGCCTTAGTCCTGTCTATGTTTGTAGACGTGGACATTTACTGGATTCCAACTTACAAACCTGCATAAAGTAAATGCTTGTGAAGTTTTTTCATTGAACTACTCAAGACCACTCTTTGGGACATTTTTTGTTTGCTCAATTTTAAATTAGCAAAGTAAAGAAAGCTGAGTAGATCTGACAATGCTCCAAGTACAGACTTGCGTTCTTCCTTGCATGGATAGGGTTTGCCAGGGAAGAAGACCCGAGACTAGATGAGATAAAGCACTGATTTTAGTCAGTGACAAAAACTGATTTTGTCAATTGACAAAATTTTCACCAACCTTTAGCAAAAATGATAATTTTTTTTTAAAAAAACCTTTCTTTCTCTTTGATACATATTTACCAGTATAAGGTTGCCAACTATCTATTTTTGACAAACCACTCTTTGAGGGCATTTTCATACTTTTTTGACATTCAAGTGTTGTTTTATAAAATAATGGTAGTTTTCTTTAAAAGTCACTTTACTGATTAAAAAATGAAATTTTGGCCCAAATTACACAGGGAAACCCTGTCTTAAAAAAAAAAAAAAAACCAAAAACAAAACAAAAAGGTTCTAACTCATCAAAACCTCTTCATAGGTAAGAGTAACACATGCCAGAAGCTCTAAGGATGAATTTCACCTGCTGTAGATCTTAGGCAGGGTATCCAGCTTCTAAATCTCAATTTTATCATCAATATATGACTTAATAGTGTTTCACTATTCATAGACAACGATTCACAATACTTTAGTCAACAATTCATGATACTTTATACATTATAAAATACCACAAAAAGGTGATGATAGTTTTAATAGTTAAAAGTTATTGGAGGAGACTTAACTATATTTCTTTGTATTTTCCCCTTGAATTAGATTTTTCAAAACTTCTTAATGTCTATGTTTATCTTTTATTATAACACACTATTTCTATTAAAAAGTCAGAGTTTTCCTGACTCTGCTAATTACGTTATAGAAAGTTTACTGGTATGAACATGGAAACTTTTATACCTATAGTTGCATGGATCTGTTGTCAGTACCTAGGGAATAAGAAGAAGGTATTCCTAGAATTTAGAAACATGGTAAAGACAAGTTCATACCTGAGAGTAAAACTAGTGAAAAGTCATTATCATACTATGGACTGAATTAGCAATGTGAAAAGGAATCTGCGTTAAGGGATGGTCTGTATGTTGCTGAAGGGACCTGGGAAATGCCTTGTTTCAGACAGGGAGACTGCTCTTTATCTCTAGTATGAGACAGAACTCAACTTTAAAGCAACTTAAAGACTATGTTATTATCATCTGTCCAAATGATGTGTTCGTGAAGAAAGGAGACAAAGGACAACATTTTGGTTGAGTTCAATTCTGAATTGTCCTAAAAAAAAAAAAAAAGCAAGACAAAAAGAGATTAATTTATAGTCATAAATATCCTAGTCATTAGGGAGTTATACTGTTTTGGAATAAAGACCCTTTCTACATATGGAATAAAGTCTCCTAACATTACCTAATTTTGTCTGTTGATTCTCAGTATACCACACAATTTCATGGTATTCATTTGGTTATGTGAGTCTCTTGACAGCCTAAATAAATAACAAATGAGGCTACCAGGGACCAAAGAGAACCTGTGCCACTGAAGTGAACAAACTGACCCCAGTTTAAGGAAGAGTTTCTTCTCAGTTGGTAAATGGGTCTGTGTTTCCTTAAAGTTCATAGTTTCTGGTAAGGGATTAAGAAGTGCTCTTCCCTTTTGCTAGATGTGAGTTTTTAAATATATAACATTAAAAGGGCAAAAAAAGACTTAGTAATTGCTAAATATGTTATTCTTATGTATACAGGAAGGAAAATATATTTAACAAACAGGAATATAAAGTTATGTAGAACACAGCATGTAAGAAGCTCATGGTCTGATGGGACATAGACATAAAAGCAATTAGTGTGCTTTGAAAAAGTAGGAGCAAGATAATAGACTGAACACCTAACTGCTTGCAATGCTTCATAGAGGAAGGGGCATCTGTACTAGACCCTGGAGATGCATGTAGGCACTTCATCTGGAGCAAAGTGTATGCCCCCAGCCTGCCCAGGAGCACAGGCAGGCTCACAAGGGTGTTGTAGCAGAGGGGAGGAGAATGGTGAAAGTGTGTACTTCCTGCTGGGTAGCACACTAGGAGGCAACAGAGTTGCAGAGGGAACTGGGGGACACCAGTGCCTTGCATTTCTCTCCAAGACCCTTTGATTCTTCCAACAGGTAATAAGACAACCACTGGAAAATTTAAAGCTAGGCAACTTACCTGACCAGAACTAAGTTTTAGAAACGAGTCTTTGGACATGCACCATTAAGAGTCAAGCTTGACTGTCAGCTTGAGTGACTTTAAAGTCACCAAGGTAATTAATAAAGCATACTTCTGGGTGTGTCTTGGAGAGGTCAAGGAAGTATGACCTTGGGTAATATACCTGGCTGCAGGGCCCTCTTCTCTAGCATTTTCTCTGCTCTGCCTTTCTGGCTGCCATGAACTGAGCACATCTTTCTCCTGTCATGTTCCTGCCCTGCAGCCAGGCGACCATGGATGAAATCCTTTGAAACCTCTCTTTTAAACTACAGGTGTTGGATATCTCCTCCAGCAACAGGAAAGCTGACCATACACACAAAGAATTGGGAACAGTATCTGCTTCTGATTTTAAATTTCTGTATCCATTTTATTGTATTCTCTGGTCACATCTGTCTCCCTATCTTTTTCTTGGTATATAACTATAATAATAGACCACAGCTAGGAAACCAAATTAAGAGATCACTGCAAGAGCAAAGGTAGAAATGTAGAAAGTCTAAATTCAGGCAATGGCAGAAAGAACACAATGGATTCGACAGGTCTTAAGAGATTAACTGGATATAGTGCTGTCTGGGTGAGTTGTGACACATTAACAGATACTTGACGTATAGGAATTGGAAACAATTGAGGAAATAGGATAAAACAAAGTCAAATTCAATTTTGGAAATGTTAAAATACTTGTGGTACATGAAGACATTTTTATGTTAAAAAGTAGAAGTAACATTGGGAGCTGTAGAGAATTGTTAGCTGAAAATATAGATTTGGAGTCACTAGTGTGTTTAAAGGTGCCGAGTTCCCATGAGGCCAGACAAAGAAAGCTAAGAAAACAACACCAAGGCTAAGATACTGGTACCCCAACAAATAAAGGGCAGAATAAAGAATAAGGGAAGGAAACTGAAAAGGACAAGCTGAGAACAGGTAAAAGCTAAGAGCAAGTGATTCTGGAACCCAAGAAGTGGGGACTTGTGCAGAGTTCACAATGTAGTCATCAAGTGGAAAGTGAGGAGAAGGCCTGGAAGACATGCCTGTTATTCCAAATCTTCACATTTTACTGGGTTAGTGTGAATATACCCGGCCTCCTCCCATGCCCGAGGAGTCATGACACTGAGAAGACAAACTAGTCCATAAATGAATCACGTTTGTTCTAGTGAAAGACAGCAGTGAAGCAGAAGAAAGAAAGTGAGAAGAGCGTGTTTATACTTAGGGCTTGTTTTCTGCCTCACCATCTGAAGGTCTTGCTTGTGATTCTACACGAGTGGCTCTTAAAGAGGGAACAAACTCTTGAAAGGAGAGAAAATCCTAAGCTCAACGCGTGAGAGTTGATTTTTCCCCAGAAACACAGCTCAGGTCAAATCAACTTACTTTCAAGTCTAAGGGCATCAGGGCCCCTCCCTGAATTCTCAACAGAGAGTCCAAGATCGTCCTCTGCTCCTCTTTCCGAGGGTTCTTCTTGGGCAGCATCCAGGGACTGTGGGTTCTCAAAGTATTTCTGTTTGCCATGGCTGTTGTCCAGGGCTTTCTCATGACAATTACCTGAATGCCAAGAGACACAGAGATCACATTAGAAACGTCTCTCTTGCATCATCCCATAATGCAAGGCCCCCAAACAAGAGCAAAAAGCTAATAATGCTAGTATTTCTCCAGTAGAACATGGCATCCACAGGCAGATCATTTTTGTGCTAAGACTGTGCACTAAAGTTCAGGTGTCAACTGCTAGGCTATGGTCACCAACCATTTGGGAAGAAAAACTGACAACATCGGTCAAACCTCAAGATATTGTTCCATTCGTAACAGCAGGAAATAGTCCACTGAAGTTAAAAATATCACCAAAACCTTTTCCTTTTATATGCTGTCCAAAAGTGATACTTGACAGATTATTACCTGAGTAAACCTGAGTTAGATGAATTAGAGCAGAGAAATATGTCATTCTTGCATCACAGATAAAATTAGATACACCAAATATGAGGAGTTATAGAAAACGAAGGGCTGCAGATATAGCTCAGTCACACAGAGCTTTCCGGGCAAGTGTGAGGTCCTGAGTTTGATTTCCGGTACCAAACCAAACTAAACCAAACCAAACCGCAAAACAAACAAACAAACCAACCAAAACAAACAAACAAAAAACCAGTTAAAAACCAAAGTATTAAAAGACATAACAGGCAATAGGAGAGATTTTAGTATTCAAGACTGTGGTACCTATTTTTCTTCCAGGAAACAAATTCCAGTCATGTGGTTAGAGATTTAGTGAAGCATAAAATTTCGAATCTTGAATACAGTCCTTGCATTTTTGAAACTATCTGGATGAGTGTAGTAGATCTGAGTTGTACTATGGTTTTGTTGTGAGACAAAGGATTTTTAAAAATTACTGCTTATCAGTTACACAGAATAGTTTTGTTTTGGTGTATTTGTACACTGATCATGAGTCAAAGGGTTTCGATCCTATTAGGGAGCCTATGCTAATATGGACAAAACCCAATATGTAGATCCACTCCAGCGTCATTTTCTGGGTCAGGGAAACCTAGGATCTTGTATGTGACATGCCAGCAATATGGCTATGCCATGTCGCTCTGCCGTCCCTGGTTTATTTAGTCGCTCTGGATCGATGAGCTGGTATCTTCTTCCTCTTTCATATCCTATTCCCACTGTCACTTAAGACATACATTTGGTGGAAGGCCACAAACTTCCTGTCAGAGGACAATTATTTGATCAAGACTGTGTAAGCAAGTTTTCCTTGACCAGGACATTCAAACATGTTTTATTTTTTTTTTTCAGTTTTCAAACACTGTACTATGTGTATTTATTGCCTAACTGACCTTTACTATGGTTACTTATATCTTTTAAAAATCCATTTAATTTCTTTTTTTAAAAGAGAAAAAAAACCAAAAACAATACAGAATTTCTTAACAATAGGAAATTAACAACGGTTAATGTATTGTGTGTTGTTACCTTCATCAAACATGCTCTAAAAGCTTTTTTTTTTTTTGAGACTGTCATCTCAAAGAGATGTGTGTATCCAACCAAGCTCTCTCTGCAGCGATGAATGGTCAAGAAGTCTTTTTCTGGATGTGATGGCTTCCTCTTAGGTTTCATAATTAAAGAAATAACATCTCAAGCTATTTCCCTTATTGTGCCAAGAAATGCACTGGGCTCAACACCTTTTCCAAAGTAATAAATTTAGAGTAAGGGGACCCTTTGCTTAGGGACTTGCTTTGTAATTTTCTGGTTCCATACTCTATATGTCTGAGGCTACTACACAAAAGGCAGTGTCAGAAATAGAGGAATCTTTAAGAGTTTTCCCTTTTAAGAAACTTACAAGAACTTGGGAAGACTGTAAGCACAAAACAATTACCATCGCAGCAGCGTGCTGTGCCAACTGAGTGCTTCAGAGACAAGCTGCAGAACTTGAGTTTTGTAGAAGACACAGGCCCAGAGAGGGGAAATGGCAAAGAGGGAGCCAACCTCTGTTAAGTGCTTATTTTTTTCCTGCCACTTCTCTGCTATGAAAACCTTGTAAAGTATTATTAATCTTCATTTTGTACATAAGAAAATTTCAGCAATTTGCCTAAAGTCCAACAGTAACTAAGTGGCAGATGTGGGGTCTGAATCTTAATACAAAGCTTCTTGGCTTTTTATTCCAGTGCTGCCCCTAACAAGAGAAGAAAAGGCAGCTTGGAGGCCGGGAAGAATCATGAAGAGGGCAAAGCTACGGGAACAGGAATGCTCCACAGCGTTTGGGAAGCAGTGAACAGTGCAATGGGACAGTGACAGCGGGTGGTGCGAGCGCACATGTACCCGTGGAAGGGCAATGGGAAGGCCGTGGGGAGCGGCGTGGCTGTCTTTCTCCGGAGTCTCCCACAGAAGGCCAGAGGACGCTGATTTGCCTCCATTTCTGCTTTTGCCATGCAGTTTTGATATGCAGTTAAGTATGAGAAGTTAAACACAAAACACTAAAACAGAGTCATGACCACAAACAACTCTGAACAGCCAGCGACTATAATTTACTACGAAGAATATTATACTCCTCGGAGACAACTCTTAATTGGGATATAAATAAGCCTGACTATTAAAAGCAGAGAGAAAATAATGATGACAATGATGCCGATGAAAGCATTTTTCACACTGACAGTATGTACTGGGTGATATTTAACATTACCATAGCAAAGGACAAACCTGTAACAGAGTAACCTACTGAAATTCTGAGTTTTGTGAAGTCATTTTCCTTCTGCAATCTTTGTATCTCTTATTTCTCTCTTGTCCTTTTCCTATTGTAACATTTAATTGGTCTCATCTTTTTAGAGGTATGCAGTTTTATAACATAGTGTGCATAAAACCCCGATACTATAATTCATTAGTCCTCTCACATGGCCTCAAACCTGGAACCTAGTGAAGTGAGCCCCATGCATCAGAAGGGTATCTTTGTCCTCCAACTCACAAACCTGGGGCCAACATCTCTCTAAGGAGAGCAGAAAAGGTCCCAGGGAGGAGAACTAGAGGAGCAAAGGGAAGAACAAGAGGTTTACGTTAAGGTATTTTCTTGCAAGCAGGCAACATCAAATGATCAGATAAAAGCTACATGTTTTAAGATTAAGGATTCTTAATATTAACCTTTTTTTTTTTCAGGGCTGGGGATTGAACCCAGGGCTTTGCGCATGCTAGGCAAGTGCTCTACCACTGAGTTACATCCAGCCCCAAATAGTAACTTTCTTATACTAACAATGAAAACTTAGGCTGATTTAGCGTGCTGGTGTTCCTTGCATAAGTACTAGGCTAATAATAGAAAGTCAAACTGCCTAGTTTTAAATTACTTTATCCCGTTGTCTAAAGGAGAAGCAAAGAAGTTCAGAATGAACTAATTATTTTCAAGACCGCAGTATAGGGTTGCTTCAGCTCAAATGGGAACTAAAGTTGCATACATAGAAAAATACTACTTAACTCCCTGGCAGAGGTGAAGATGTTCTCATTTAGAAATCAAAAAAAATTTTGAAGAAGGAAATGTAAACACACCTGGAAAGTTAACAAGTCATTTTCCAGGGGTGTTACTCCTAATTTCTGCTGATGCAAAAACCAGGAGACTGCATGGCTTAGACTAATCTACAGAAGTATGTTTCTGTTTTATTTTTAAAAAAGGAACTACATGATTTAGATGAAATGTTTTCGATAATAAGGTCCCAAGTGAAAATGGAAACATTTTTTCCTATGCATAATGCTTTATATTTGCTTGCCAAGCATTTACATCTAATTCAAATTCTGGCAGTTTGTTTTGTTTTCTTAGAAGCAAGAGACTACAATTTAAATACCAACACACTATAAAAGTGCAAAGGAAGGTATTTCCAGTTCTGGAATTGCTGTGAGATCAGACACATCAACTTCCTTTCTTGTGCTCAGAATTTCTCCTACATAAACTGGGTTGTTAGTGTGGACCTATCCTACAAAGGTGTTCTAGAAAACAAAAATATTTAATATACTTTGTCAAGGTAGAAGTCTGCTCAGAGATAAAGGTACAATTTATCCTGTGGCTAGAAAGTTTTTCAGAGTAAACTAGATTCTTAGGAACTCTTGTCATTTCTAAGGTAGAGGACATTGTCTTTCTTCTTATATTAATTCTGTTTACATAGTTCCTAGAAGAATATCCACTTTCTAGAGCTGAATTACTATCTTTGTGCTAAAAAGGACCCTTACCTTTGGAATCTCCTAAATTGGTAAACATACCTCAGGCTGGGTACTTTATACAGTTTGCTAAAGTTAGTTATAATAAAGAAATACTGCATGGCCTGGTAGAGCATGCCTATAATCCCAGCAGCTGAGAGACTGAGGCAGGATGATCGCTGTGAGTTCGAGGCCAGCCTGGGCTACATAGTAAGTTCAAGGCCAGTATGAACTACAAAGCAAGACTGTCTAAAAAAAAAAAAAAGCAAAGCAAAACAAAACAAAATAACAAAAAGAAACGCTACACATGAAAAGCAAAGCATCAAACTTTTTAAGAGCTCAGCAAGTAAACCTAATGTCAAGACCAGGTCACCTGGGTTTTTTAGCATTATAGCACAGCAGTTAAGAGCACAGACTGGAAGATTACATGAGTCCAAATCCTGTTTACAACACTTTTTAGTTCTGTAAAGCAGGAGTGGTTGCTTTTAACCTATCCTCACAGATAGCACCACTTCATTAGGCTGTTGAGAATTAAGTGTAATGAACTAGACCACCGTCCAGCACAAAGTAATCTGTAGTGCTGCCCCTCTGAAAATTGCAGTTATAACTAAGAAGCTATCCCAATGCAATCTTTTCACCGGGCCTTTTGGCCATCTCAGAATCTCCAGCGTGATGAACTGGCTGATAACAGTGATTAGCCACTGGGCCACCCACAGAATGAGGCAGAAGGACCTCCAAGTTTGAGGCCAGTCTAGGCAAGTTAGGAAGCCTCCATCTCAAAGGAAAAATAAAAGGGAGTGTTAAGGTAGTTGCCTGATTTCAGATTGTGTGCACACGTACATGTACACAAACACACATACGCACAGAGGCTGCTGGAGGCAGTACCA